ATGCTGCAACAAACACCCCCTACTTATATCTGTTAATAACACAGGGGTGAGCCCTCCCAGTGTACACCTTGAGGTTCCTTCTGAATTTATAGTAAGCCATAAGCACATGTGCAACTATACTGAATTTTTCCAAATTGCTTTTCAAATTATTTTGTTAGATTTACTTCTGGGTACCTCTTTATTTTATTGCTATAATAAATGGAAAATTTTTAAGGTATCATTTCAATTGTTGCTGGTAGATAAAAATGTTACTGACTTTTGATATTTTAATCTTATATCCAGCAAATTTGCTGAGCCCTCTTACTCATTATAATAATTTACCCCATAAATTCTCTAGGATTTTTCTAGATGAATAATCTATTGTTTATGAAAAATGTCAATTTTGTTTTTTCCTTTCCAAATTTAATAACTTTTGTTTCCTAGTATAGTCATATTACACTTTAAAGGTCCTATAGTACCATGTTAAATAAAAGCAAAGAGGTGATAGTAAATATCTTTGTGTTCCCCAATTTTTAAAAGAATACAAAAAAACAAACAAAATGAATGTATACTGATAGAAATCAGACTTATGATTGCCTTCTGGGTCAGAGTGAGCCAACAGACTGGAAAGTGTCATGAGGAGATGTCCTGCCACAATGGAAGTGTACTATATTTTGGTTTTGGTCATGGTTACGCTTGCCAAAATTCATTGAACTGTCTGTATAGGATTTTTACTGCCATTTGTTCATTTTCTTCTTGATTTCTGGGAGCTATTTGTATATTAGAGATATGAGCCCTTTTTAATATGAGTTGCAAATATTTATTCCCAAAGTGAAATTTGTATTTTGAATTTGCTCATATTTTGCATGTAGAAATTTTTTATGTAGATAAATGACAAATCTTTTATATTTTCTGAATTTTGAATTGTGGTTAGAAAGACTTTGCCCATGTCAAGGTTATAAAACAATTGTCCCATATTTCTTCAAGATTTTTTAAATAGTTTTCATTTGGTATATTTAAATCTTTAATCCATTTATAATTCATTTGTGTATTGTTTGAGGTATGGATCCAACTTTATTATTTTTTTCAGATGGCATTCACATGTTACGTCATTAATAGAATTGCTAATATTTTACCATCCTTATATTTCTAAAACAAACTTCTTGGTGATGATTTAATATTATTTTAATAAATTTTAAATATATATGTTATTTTAGCATATGTATGTGTGCATACATGCATATACATATGTATGTATGCACATAAATATATATACATATGTTTAAATATAAACTTATAATTTGCTGATATTTTACTTAGGATTTCTGCATCTGGTTGAGATTAGTGAGATTGGTTTATATTTTTTCTTTCTTTCACCATCCTTTTTGAATTTTTGTAATGAGGTCAAATTAAACTCATAAAAATAATTGGGTAGTTTTTCTTCTTTTTCAAGTCTCTGAAATGGTTCTTAAAACCATCTGGGCCTGGTGCTTTTTTGTGGGGAAATATTTGACTACTGATCAAAATTTTAATCATTACATGACCTTTGATATTTCTTCTTGAGAAAATTTTGTTTATTCTATTTTTTCTAGAAAACAGATTTTTCATCTAACTTTTCCCATTTTTAATCTTAATGCTATTCAATAATAGTTAACAAGTCCCTGCCACATCTGTTCCCTGCTCCCCCAATACTGGCATCTTCTCTCTTGTTTCCCTTATTAATTTACAAAGAACCTGAGGGTGTCCTGACTCAATGTGTTTAGCTGATCGCTTGAATTTCAGCGTTGGGGTGGGGGATGAGGAAGGAGAGGAGACGCACACAATAAGAACAAATGTAAGGAAAGAATGGTTTAATACTTCAGGGCAGGTACTGCTCATGTTGATTGGTCATCGAAAGTTTGATTACACCTGGTTTTACTCAATGGTAAAGTAGGAATAAACACAGTATCTACATCATGGGGTGCTGAGAATCAAACGAATTAATTCCAGACAACCATGCTGTTTGGCACATACAGAGCTGTCAGTCAAGATCATTAGTTGTTGTTATCATTATGCATAAAGGAGAAATAAAGTAGCAGATCCACGTTTGAAGAACTAGGACCCGGACACTCAAAATATGTTTGTTGTGGATTTCTCATACTTGGCCCCTAGATCCTCCTCTGCCCACCTGGTCATGTCCCCTGCACTGAACGCCCTCCCAGTGTCCATAGATTAATGTTGAATTAACATCGAGTGAAGTAGGGCGGCTTGAATGCGGCCACATCTAACCTTCCACAGCCTTCCTGGAAGTTGCAGTTAAGCCTCACATGATCAGATTTAACATAAAAGCCAGGGCTGTATTACAAGATACATAGATACAAGATTACATAGACTTTTCTTAACACTTCCTCCTTAATTTATTTATTTAGTAAGTATTTAAACGCTTATGATGTGTACATCATAAATGAAAAAGAATGTTACATTCACTGTCACCCTTAATGGATTAACACATTTTGCTGAAAAGAGGCACAAAATTGCCTGCATTAGTGTTTATGCTAAGGTTTATGTGCAAATACTGTTAATTGGGTCTATCTGTTAATTGGGTCTATCCATATTTGCACATTGGCCAATTGGGCCTTCTATGGCTGTGCTACCCAATATAGTAACCACTAGCCACACCATGGCTATTTAAATTTAAACGAATAAAAATTAAATAAAATTAAAGAGTCAGTTCCTCTGTCACACTGGGCAAATAGCAAGGGCTCAGTAGCCACGTTGGCTACAATATTGGACAACTCTGAATCATAAAACATTTCTAACATTCCAGAAAGTTCTGTTGGACAGGTCTGTCCTACAGGGAGTTTCATCAATAATTAAAGTAGTAGTAGTTCCTGCATAGGTACCTCAGGGAACAGATCACCTTGTTCTTACTAAGTTGGCTGAATGCCTATGGTTATGGCTAACACGATTTAAAATAATGTGTTCTTTTAAGCAGGTTAAACAAGTGCTTTGGAATGTTATTTATCTTGGGAATTAGCCTGGAGATTCAAAAATTCAGGGATTCTGAATTAGGGAAGCCCAAATTAATGTGATTTACTATATTCCCTAGGTCAATCCTGGAGGCTGTGCTTTCTTTCACATTGTTCCTGGCTAGACGACCTTACTCCCACCTGCTGCCACTTGCATACTTGTTGATGTAAACAACCCCCTATTTCCTGGTCACTACCAGCCCTGAAACATTTGTCAACTTTGGCCACTTTCCTAGAACACATCGTTGGGCATTGTCATTGCTTTGCTCTATGAGTGACATCTTTAGTAAAGGCACCTCCTTCTGGACAGTATTTGCCAACCAGGCCTGGCAAAAAAAATGGGTGACTTAGGATGTTTCCTGTCGTGTATGATTCAAGTATCAGGTCTACAGGTGTGTGTCATGGCTGGAAGGACATTCTGCTGATGTACTCATAGCAAGTCACATGAAACGGTGAAATAAATACACATGACTCAGAGTGAGGGCCAGGGCACCGTGGGGGAAGGGGTTCCTCCTGTGTTCGTTGGGTGCTGGATTAGCAAAGGGATGACAGCCAGGAAGAAGAGGGTGAGGCTCCTAACACGTTGCTGCAACTCCCGCTGACCTGAGAGACCTGGGCAGGGTCCTTCAGAGACAGTCAACCATGGTGCGAAAAGGGCCCCGTGTTTGTCACAGAAATGTGCTATTCCTGCCCTCCCAGAGTTGTGGTGGCACACTTGCCGGCAGCCTATTTACTCTTATCTATTCAAAGCCATGCTGGTTGTAAGCCAACGCTCTGGCCGACTGCTGTCCCTGCCCCCATCTCTGGGACTCACTGAGTAGCAAGCACACAGGATGTTACTTTGTGATTGCCTCATTGCAACAACACATGATGACCTGAGCAATTCCAGGGAGAGGTGGAGGCAGAGGATCAAGGCAAAGAAGGATCAGAAATATCTATTCATCACATCAGGTCTATGAACAAGAAGCTCAGACCTCAGAATATGCAGTATTTCCCTAGATTTCCAACCCTTCCAGAACATCCTTCCATTAATTGTCCCATTTAATCCATCACCAAGTCCATTCATTCCTCCTTATGACTACATCTGAAATGTGTCCATCATTCCCTTCAGCCATCCCCATCGAAATGCCCAGTGCCTTGAGGTTAGGATGCTCCCAATCTGCCTTCACACAACCACCAGAGAATGATATTTAAAATGATGAACTTTTCTTGCCTACGATAAAGACCAAATTGATCAATCTTGTCTATTGGACCTAGCTAGCTGGCCCCTGCTACTCTCTCTCACCTAACTTTACTCATTCAACATTGCAATCATGCCCCACTGGTTTTTCCTCCCAACTCTTCTATGGAGCCAAACTCGTCCCTGCCTCAGGGCCTTTGCACACGTGGTACCCTGTGTTTAAACTACTCTTCTCCCAATTCCCCCTTGCCTAGTTAACTCATACTCATCATGCGTCACTTTAGTCACCACTTCCTCTTTGTGGGTCATTTTAGTCATCACATGCCTCTCTCCTGGAACTCAGTCATATTAAGGTTTTGCATTTATAACAGTGACTATTTGATTAACCCTCTTTCCTGTAAGATTTACAAGCCCACAGACAATATTTACCTTTTACTTACCATTGTATTCCCAGCTCCCAACACTATGCCTGGCAATTGAGGCATGAGTAAATCATCACTGACCAAATAAACAGTAAATTTTGTGATTTGCCAGCAGAGGAGTGTGGTGTACAAAGGAAGTTCACAAACAAGAGCCATGGGTTCAAATCCTGGCTCCACCATTTGTTAATCAAGTGATCTTAAATCAAGTCAACTAAGCTGAACTTTCTCATCAGTTAAATGGGTATAGCTAAATTTACAAGAGGTTGTGAAGAGATAATGTATGCCAGTGGGCACCCTAGACATTGTCATCATTATTATTGTTATCCAATTTAGAAATGACAGGGTGGAAAGTCCTCTGGTGAGGCCATAGGGCTCCTTGGGAAGAAGTGACAGATTACTCACACCCAAAAGGAAACAGATAGTAACATTTTTTATTAAATATTACAGTGGATCAAAAAGTACAAAATATCTCTTGCCTGCTATGTGATTGGGAAACTATTGGCACGTAATACAGTATCAAAAGCAGTAATAAGTACAATTTGGAAAACATACAAAATTGAGTGTTTATAGTTGGCTCAGCATTCTTCTGGTAGTGTTTAAACTAATGCAAAGGTTACTCAATAACCTCTCCATTGGGAAACTATATAATATCACTGGGCCATGTTGCTATATACAAATAATCACCTTACAGAGCATAGAGGTTACATAGCTGGAATCACCAAAAGTATACAATATTTACAACACAGGAAAGTTTAAAAAAGTATAAACAGCCAAGAGATTATGCTGCTATTCTTCAGACATATTTCAACCATGGGGAGACAAGCAGAATATCAAATACACCAACAGCCAACACTGGACTTTAAGTGCTCAAGATAATCATTGCAATGGTGTGGGTCTCACCAGGGCGAAATCGTTCCCATTTCTCTTTAAAATTGGGACAAGAGTAAAACTAGACTGGATGGGACTTGGCTGACCACCACCAAATGTGACTTTGTGGGACAATAAGTGAAGAAGAAGAGAAATAAATGGTTCTCTTTGAAGGCACACTACATAAAATATTTTTGTGGGACCACCTCAAAACTTCCATCAGACACATTAACACAGTGAAATTACAGTACTTGAGAATTCATGCACCAGGTCAGAAACTTGTAAAGTCAACATCGAGTTTTAACAAACCCTTCTGTATATGCCCTGATAAACAAGTGAGCTTAAGAGCTTCTAGCTAGTAAATAAATAAGTCAGTCCTGTGGCAAATATTACAAGTTTGAATCACTTACTAGGAGAATACTTAATTCTGAAACTCTGTTGGGCTTTTTTTTTTTATTATCATTATTTTTTTTTTATTATTGAGTTGCCAAAAGTTAAACCAGAAATTGCATGGAAAGGTTTTTAAAAAATAGTATTTAGAATCTCCAAATCTCCGATAAATCACGGACTTAGTGTATTTTGAATTGCAACATTTCTTGGAAGCCATACTCAGTAAATAGATTTATGACTCCATTGCCAATTAGATTCCACAGTTTCCTTTACAGACCTACCAATAACAATGGTTTGACTGCACAAAGAAAGGCTTGTGCAATTCCATTCAATAATAAGACCCCTTGAACTCAAACAATGCAAACAAAGCCCTATTTAAGACTTTTTAAAAACGTAGTTCTCAGCCAATGAAGAATTCAATGATCTTTTTGAAAGATTTCCAAGATCTCTGTTCGGAGTTTTAAAACAAATCACACACTGCTTCTGTTGGGAATGTATACCCCTATTTCTCTTTATTTGTCCTGATGTTCTGCTGAGGGTATGAGCTTCCTCGGACAGAAACAGTGAGTCTCCTCTCGGAAGACGTGAGAAAAACAAAAGCTGGACTATGTTAACATTGTTTGAAAGTGGTGTGATCAAATTCCAACATGATGAAACCACAACTGAAATCTTTGCAGTGGGGAAAACAAATGCCCCATATTACAAATAGATAGGTGAGCTCCACTGGGGACAGATGGCTCCCGTTTTTTTTGTTTTTTGTTTTTTTCTGAGAAATGAACTCACAGAAACCAAGTACGATCTAGCCCATGTCTGCTGCAGAACCACTGGAGTTTCCTTTTTCTTTCACATCCTGCGATTCTGTGACCATTCCCTCTAGTGCAACTTTTATATATGTGTCCTGGCTAACATTTTGCCAGCTGGAATTTGAGATTTTTTTCCCCCCCTCTATCTTGTGCAATAGCAGGATAATCTGCACTCACACATTTATAATCTAAATTCTACTAGTCTACCTATGGTTCTATTAAATATATATATATATATTATTCCACAGGAAGGTAAATAATTAATTGAAGCAAATGGAACTCTTAACACTGGATCTCTACATTCTTTTGTTTCCACCTTTGGATATTAAGTATGTTACATTGAATATTTGGCTTCATATCATGGAGACATTTCAATACAAATGCACGGCATGCATGGCTTTGTTTAAGAGCCGCAGTTTCACTGTTATCAGTTTTTGATTATTTTGCAGTCGAGTTACCTATTTAGAAGTTGAAAATTGTCATCGATTTTCATAGAATTAAATATCTCAGAGGTAAAAGACTTGGATAACTATGGTTCTAAAGTCTACTGGTAGTGTTGGGGGAGGGAGCAAGTGGCCGGGGGAGTTCATCCAAGCAGTCTTCAGCAGGGATGGGACTTGGGAAGAAAATCCAACCTCTGTATCCATCGACCTTTAACAGGATTAGAAAATGCATCCACCCTGATGTTACATCCCGGTAGCAAAAAGAATGAAGTGGCAAGAATGACCATAGGCATTCTCCACATCTTTTGACTGCTTGAACAGCTTGATCATTTATTTCCAACAATAAAAGAAATCATAAAGCATACTGTATTGCCAGGTGGTTAAAAACAAGACAAAAACCACCTTATGTGTGTGCATACACACGAAACTCATGCCCCATAAACCCAACGAGGATGACTTTCTTTTGAAATGGCTAATCCAGTATGCCAATTATCCCCAAAGATGTGGCCTGGAAGATTCTTCTTGGGAATGACAAGAAACCAACTTGATGAAAGCAATGTGACTATGCATTACTCAAAAGACAGAGGCCCAGAGAAGCTAGGAGGACTTCAGCTGCTCCTCTTCTGATAGCTGAGCTCCATCCTCTTCCCAACCCCCTTTCCCAGACCATTTAAAGGGATCAGTGCCAACACCAATGTAAATCATTTTGGCTCCTGTTCTAATTTCTGAAATTCCTAAAATATCTGTGCAGCCCACAAATATGTCCTCTAGACTCTGTTGTTATTCGGCAGCTTGCTGCCAGTGAGGTTTTTGTTTTTATGATTCCTCTGGTATGTAGGACAGTTTCACAGCCTAGATAAGGTAAGTACAATGCTCAATATTTTCACATAACCCAATACTTCAAAGCAAAGCATTTGGCCGGGTAAGCAGTGTATAAGCTCTTTCAACTATGCCATTTATGAGGAACAAAATCCTTAAGTTGCGGATCTGCAAAGGAACGTTCTTTGCACTATTGTGTGCTCGACTGCTTCTTTTTCATTTGTTCCACTGAAATCAGTTGCTTCAATTTGTAAACAATAACTTTACCACCCAAAGCTGCTCAAAATAAGATGTGGAAAAGGTACAAACACACATCAACAACTAGGACAGTCAGTCAGCCTTTAAAACAAAACAAAACCAAAACCAAAACCAAAAACAAAAAAGACTTGCAAACAAATGTGATACTGTTTAATTAAAAAAAAAAAAAAAAGACAAGAGGAACTGGGAGAAAATGGAACTACCTGTATATAAATTAGGTAAGCAAACAGTGATACTGGTAGTTTTAAGAAGCAAATATATACAGTCAATTGAACAGTGTTTACTTCTCTGGATTGTTTAATAGTGTCAAAATGAAAGATCTATTGAAGTTCACTATACATTGCATTGATTGAACCTTGGAGAGTTTTAAGAAAAGAGGGGCATCCCTTGGCGCATGTTTGCCAGTCTTCCTTGCCCCTTCCTTTGAAATGCCTGCCCCCTTTTTTTTTTGTTGCCTAGATTGTTTCCTGACCATCGAACTCAGATGGGGTCCTCTAAGTTCTTCCTGGATATACACAAATCCCTTCACAAGGCCCACATGCAAAGTGAATGATCTGGAGGTGCCAGGGCATCCATCCGTGTTGGAAGGGGGTCAAGACTGGCCAACCAACGCTGGAGTTGCCCCCGAAAAATCAGGCATGTTCACCTCCCCTCTCGGCCCCTACAGCTGGGACTGATCGTACCCCCAGATTAGAAGAAATACTGACTTCTAATTCTATAAGCCATCACCCCAGAGTAGGAGTGACGCTCTGTTAGCCCCCTGCTTTGGGCTGCTGGGCCTACAGTTTCGTACTGGGGTGTACAGACGACAGCTGGGAAGATGGAAAGGCAGCTTGAGGATTTATAGCAGCTAAAGGGTAAATGCTGTTGTGCAAAAGGTCCCCGTACGAACTTCCTACAGGTGTGGCCGCAGCCAAGTGTCTGTACAGCTGCTGAGAATTTGTCGGCGACGTAAAAATTCCTCTTTGCATCACAAGCGAGTGGAAAGCCAGGGGTTGCATGAGCGGAGAAAGCACAGTCTGGTTTTTCAAGTACTGCAGAGAATGAGAATACCCAGCCGGGAGCCTGGAATTGAGGCCCGAGTTACACAGGCTCCCGGAATACAGACCTGGGAAGATAGGGGAGGAGAGGGGAAGCTTGTGGCCTTCGGATCCGGCCCCGGGATGCCCGCCGTGCGCTGCCTTGCTGCCTTCGCTCTCCTGCTCAGAGCCCTTCTCCTTCCCAGAGACCTCCTTGGATGGGTCCAGGGGAGACACGGCCCGGGCCTTTTTGCCGGCAATCACAAGGTCCAAATCCTCCAGGCTGCGCTTAATTGGCCGCGCTGCGCCAATGTTCTGCGGGCTCATTTTCCGGTGCAGGATGGGGTGCACCATGCCTTCCATCTTCCTGAAATTCTCCAGTCTCACATGGTGAGATTTTCCTGACCTTGAAAGGGATTCGGGGTATTTTTTAGGGGCCGACATGGTCATGGGCGATACCCGACAGGCTTTGGGGTGACAGTCTCGACCCTGGCTGCTTATGACCTGGAACTGGGAGACTCCTTTGCTCTCCTGGGGTCCTGGGGCCGAGTGGGCCAGGCCCAGGACCTTGCCGGTGGGTTTGTGCAGGTTCTTGGGGAGGCTCAGATCCGTAGGCTGGTCATCGGTGGAGGCTTCTGCTGCGGCTGACTTTTTATCTTGCAGATGCAGAGACGCGAGATAATTTACATGGAGCTTTTCTTGGTGTTTGTGGGAAGGGAAAGAGCTGTTTTCCGATTCTCTGTACATGTCTCTGTACTTGGATGTCTGTTCATTGTGAAGATGGTGTTCAGTGTGCCTATAGAGGCTATGGAGATGAGGGGACGAGTAGAAGTCCGCCAGGAAGCTGGGCACGTGGGAATGGGGGAGTGCCCTTTTCTCCAACAGTTTGTCCTTGCCCTCCTGAATTTCTTGCTTCAGGACATAGGAGTCAGCAAGGGGGTTAAGGTGATGCTTGGAGAAGCTGCAGCGGTGGGGATCAGATCGACTCAGCTTCTCGTGCTTAAAAATGTCATTGATGCTCTTCCTGTCTTCCGAGGGCTTGCTTTTGAAACTCTGGACGTGCTGAATCACCGATGGCCGGCTGACCGCCATGTGGTCAGCGCCCTGGCCGTGGTGGGCCTGGGACAAGCCCGAACACAAGTCATCCCTGGCAATCAGTTTCTTTTTGCTGATCAAGGGGGGTGGGGAACCATAGGGGTAGCTGCTGGAGAGGCCGGCCCCGCTCACTTGGGACAGAAGCTTTTTCTTGGCCAGTGGGGACATGATGCCTGGGTTGCCCCTTGAGTAGAGCAGGGGTGTGTAGTTAAGTCCATGGTTTTCGTTCATGGGCCCAGTCAGGTCTTTGTCTTTGAACATGTCAAATGACTGGACCACAAGGACCTTCGGGGTCTGCTTTAGTGCATTGTGGATGTCGTCGCTGCCCAGCTGGTCCACCTTCACGGTGCAGTTGGCGATGTAATCTGCCATGGCGGGCAGTTTGTCATCCTCCATCTCGTGCTGGTTGGCCAGCGGTGGCTGCGTGGCGGGGTAGCTGGGAAAGGACGCTTCTTGGAGGTCATTTTCAGAGCTCTCTGTGAAACAGCAGGGCTTGGATTCTTGTTTGGAATCCACCAGGGCGCTGGGAGAGGTGAGAGACTGTTTACCGGCCCCAGGGACCAAAGCTGGGTCCCTTTCAGAGGCCAGAGGAGCACTTGGGGGCGGAGGTGCGGGCCCCTTCTCTCCCACCTCCTCTGCCGGCTTCTCGCTGTTGGAACCTGGGTCAGTTGTTTCACTGTCCTTTTCTGGGTCTGCTCTGGACGCCAGGGGCCTCACTGCAAAATCCTGGTACCCTTCCATTTTTTTCTTGATGTCTGCAGCTGGGAGAGGCTCAGGGATGCTTTTCTGGCTTAAAGCCTCTTGTTCTTTCTCTTGCTCTGATGAAACCTGATAAAATATTTCAAAAGACAGTCAGAAGAAAATCAAACTCACTGACATCCTTTGCTATGAAATAAGGCATTAAGCACAGTAGTTTTTCTTGAAAACAGGCTTGTCAATCAGCTCGTGGAGTTTCTGTAAAGCTTTATTACTCCTCAATCATGGCTCTAAACAAAGAAATCTAAATTACAGAAACACTAGGGGAAATATGCATATTCGCTCCAGTCCCTTATGAGACACCTATCAAAATAGCAAAGCGTTATGTACTGATGGTATACAATCATATCACTCCTGATTCTAATATATAGTTTAATTCTAAGCTTGTCTTCTTGTCAAATCAGTCAATTACCCAAATGGGTTTTAAATTACATGTTGTGTTTTATGACACTCCTGAGAAAGATGTTTTTTAAGCATCTCTCTTTCAAAAAATCCAACCAGGCCTGTGTCAACAATAAATAACAAACTTACTGTAACTCCTTGCCTTTCTTTGAAAGGGCAAATTCCTTCCTAATGTGTTCAATAAAATGCATTGAAAATTAGTTATGCTCAAATGTTAATAATTTCTACTCGGTGCCAAGTGTCATGTAGATAATGCTAAAATATTAAAGAAGTATGAAGTTGCAATGGTGGCCTGTGTACCTGAGGGACTGAGGACATTCTTGGTCCTTCTAGGCTGTAGCAAATTACATTTCTATCAAAGCCAACAATAAAGTTGTCACAATTCAGGCAGTGGGTGCCACCACAAATACGGCTTTTCTGTTCAATGAAATAAATTATAGTCAATGAGATGGACACTCTTTATCTACCCCTATTGATGGAAGTTGTGGTCACAATTCGATTCATTTAAATTGCATTACATAGCTGTGTAAATGGTGACCTTAAAAGGTCATCTTAACTTTCCATCTGCGACCCAGCTGGCTGACAAGCCCTTATAAAATTGCTGTCCTTCTGCCCTGACATGTCTTAATGGAACAGTCACAAAACAACTATATTGGGCTGGCCTCCCCCCACCGCCAGCTCATCCCTTGAACTTTGTTTGTTCTTCTCTGTTAAAGAAAAGAAGTGTCAGCCACGTTGGGGTCTTTAGGTAAGACTGAAGATGCTGGTTTAGGGATACATAGGAACAAACATTTTAGGGAATCATGCCCATTCCATAGGTATTTCTCGTCAAATCCACTTAAAGACATGCCTGCTTTTTAGGGATGAGTTATACCTGAAGGTCTTTGCTTAGCTTTATAACTTTTTCTTTTTTTTTTTTTTTTTTGGTACTAATAGCTGCCTTTTCCAGTACAAACATCATTACTTGTTCTACATTAATAATCATCATTGGTCTCTTGAGCTTATACATTACATGAAAATACAGAAAAATGAGTAAGGGAAGGGAAAAAGACAAATTGCATTTAATTGTTAGTTTCTTATGTGACTAGGCTTTGCTGTGGGGCTGGGGACGCTTGGTCCCACTGAAGTTTCTACAGCCTAGGCCTTCAATCATATCAGAGGTCCATGCTTCTGGTTATAACACTGGTTTAGGACTTCGAAAAGCTAGGCAGAAAAAAAGAAGATACCCTCTTTTTAGGATGACATTCTATGATCTGCTTTAGTGTATTAGATATTACCTTCCCACCAGGTGTCATGCAATCCAATTACCCAAATATAGTGGGTTTGACCAAAAGGGGTTTATCACCCTTCCTATACCTCCATTGTGTTCACTGTGTTCATATTGAAAACACCAAAAATTAAAAAACAATGAAAACAACAATGACAACAATGAAATCCAAACCAAAAATCCCAGACACAGTCATTGAGCAAGAATGTACCTGGCTAATAACATGGGTCTATGTTGGACTTGGGGAGTGGTTCTTACAATAAGGTCAACCTCAGGGAGGGTGGGGATTCTATGAAGTTGAGATAACCCCATCGTGACAACCTTGAAATCAGAGACACTCACAGATCCCTGAAGGGAACAGCTGGGGCCTATAGGAAAGGGACAGCCTAACAGTTTTAAGGGTTTCTGTGGACTCCAGAGAGTAGGGCTCCACTTCTGGGAATGGTCATCTCCAAAGCTGATGGACTCAGTGCATGGGCTGAGATTCCGCCCACAACCCCCCAAACCAACCGTCTCAAACTCCATCCCCAAAGTGGAGTCGTTCAAAGGTCACTTGGCCCCTTGATCCTCAGTTTGTCCCCTGGTACTCTGGCAACACTATACATATGGTAGCTAATAGAGCTCTCTGATCCGAAACCTTATAATAAATCACCAGGCTAACAGAATAAAGGAAAAATGGAATGTAAGCCTTAACTTGGAATTTCCTTGCTTTTGGCTTTTCATGTTGCAAGCTTGCAGATGTTTAGAAATCTACATCATCCTCCCCCTGCCTCTTCTTTTAATTACTAGAGCTTAAAATAATTATGAAACTTGAAAACAAAAACTAAAATTCTCCTCTTGCTATTAACACTATCTTCTCATACAGAGGTCAGTTTGGTGACTTAATGTCTGAATAGGAGGTTGGGTGTGTGTGTGTGTGTGTGTGTGTGTTTTAAGTCAGTGTTTAATTAGGGAGTCTCTTATGTGTTCATTATAAACCTGACTTTTAGGGGGTATTTAATATTAGCACCAAAATTCCCTCTAGGGTTGAGTCCTAGAACATGCCGTCTCCAAATGCGGCTGCTAAGTTTTTTTTTATGGGCAGCAAGGTTTTTTATTATTCATGTTGAAACACAGCCCAGATCGGCCTACATGACTGGCTGTAAGCCCATGGTAATGGCTTCTACAAAAGGGCTGTTGGGGGTTGCGGGTAGCTGGGGCTTGTTTTAAAAGGTCCAGAAACTACCTGTTAATATGAGAGATAATAATGGTTTCGGAGTAACCATTTCAAAATTCCCCTCTAAATAATATGCACTTATGATATTTCTAAATTGGTCTTGACCCAAGGCTGTCGCACAGAAGTCATGGGAGACAAATATATCTCTAAAATTTTCAGGCGAGTCCTGAAGAGAAAGAGCCCATCGATTCCAACGTCCCTCCTCCCTAGACTCTTCCAAAGCATGTCACACCACTTAAAGTCACATCAATTCCTCAGACAGACTGGCCATGAAATGGCCAAGAAACCACATTTCACAATGGAATCCCTTGATTTTAAAGAGCTGTAGCTCTTGCTCCTTCTCTTAAAATCTGAGCATTTGCTGTCAGTTTTCTTTTCTTTTTTATTTTTTTAAAGATAGAGTCTTGCTGTCTTACCCAAGCTGGAGCGCAGTGGCACACAATCATAGCTCACTGTAGCCTCAAGCTCCTGGGCTCAAGCGATTCTTTGGTCTTAGCCTACAGAGTAGCTAGGACTACAAGTGCATGCACACCTGGCTAATTTTTAATTTTCTTTTTTGTAGAGTCAGGGTCTCACTGTGTTGCCCAGGCTGCACTCAAACTCCTGGCCTCAAGCAATTTTCTTTCCTTGGCCTCCCAAAACACTAGGATTACAGGCATGAGTCACCATGCTCAGTCCTGCTATCAGTTTTCTACTGGAGGTTTTCAACTTTCTTCTAGATTCTATTATTGGCCTACCCCCATTCAACACCCTGCATTACATTTCAGCTCCTGAACAAACTGAAAGGTTTTTAGGAATTGGGGAACTATTTGGGGAACTGTGAAGCTTAGGTTTTTTGATTTCTTAATCTAACCACGCAACTGAGCAAGAATACAGCTGTGGATTCAGGGTTCCCGAATACCTCAGGGCAGGATATGTCTCATAGAGCTATTTCTGTGTAGCAAAGCAACTCACCTCTGATGCATCCTGGGGCTTTGGGGCATTCTCTTTTTCTTTCTTGCTCTTAGGCATTTCATGTTTGATGCGTTTGGTTCCTGATACTTTTGTTTTGTTCTCATTTTCCTGTGAACTGTTCTCCTGTTTCCGAGGTTTGATTGGAGGAAGGGGCTTGTCTTCCTCTCCTTTAATAAACCTTTCATATGGTAGGATTAATCTAAAAAGGACAGCAGAAGAGAGGATCGGTCAGTTAGGTAATTCCAGCAGCATCAATGCTATGGAAGTTTACTTTCTTTTATTTTAGTACAAGCAACTTATTGAATGACTTCATCCCTAATGACGCCGATGCACTTCTAGAAACTTAAACTCCACAGTTTAGTGGTCTACTTTCTCGGTCAAAATCAGTACTTGGTAACTTACACACTTCTCTGCAAGACCTCTTTTTGGTTTTTTGGGTGCATCTAACAAGGGTACCAATGGAAGCATCTTATGTTAACATCATCATCACTGCCCACGGCACTTGGCTCCGTGCCAACAACATCACAACAATAACAGCAACAATAATCAGCAGTCCTCAACCTTTTTGGCACCAGGGACTGGTTTCATGGAAGACAATTTTTCCGTGGACTTGGGGGTGCCGTGAGGGGCAGGAAGAGGAGCTCAGGCGGCCAGTTCCTAAAAGGCCACAGACTGGCACCAGTCCTCAGCCCGGGGGTTGGGGTCCACAGACAATGGTGATAGCTGCTGTTCATTTGCCATTCCCTCAACAGCTACTTACTGCACACCTAGTAGGTACCAGGTAGTGTTCTAGGCAGTGAGAGACAGCAGTGACCAAAACATTCAAATGACCCTGGCCTCATTAAGCTTATATTCTAGTAGGTACTAGTATGCGCCAGGTACATTATAAAGATGATTTCGTATAATCTCCACAACATCTATATGAAGTATTGTTATTATTATTATTATTATTGTTCCCTTTTTAACCTATGAGGCAACTGAGGTCCAAAAAGGTTAAACAATTTTTTCTAAGAGTCACATAATTTGTTAGAGGTAGAATTTGAACTTAGTTCTGCCCAACTCCAAAGTCTTTATTTTGATTCAAGTAAAAATGTAGACCAAACACCTAAGATAAAAAAAAGCGTGTGGCAAGCACAGCATGGCAGAGAGAGAGCTATCTCATTTGACAGCAGGGTTGAGGGGGCAGGTGACCCTAGCAGGAGGAGTTCTGTTTTAGGGTGCCAAGCAAAAGAGGGCCCCAGAGAGAAGGAAAGTGGACAGACTATTCAAGCCGCAATAATCAGAGGGGCAGCAGATTTCCAAGCATTTTAATTATATAATTTTTTTTTAAGCAAAGTACATAAAAATGCTCTAAAAAGAGAAACATCAAACAGCTCTGGTTTTAATCTGTTTTCCCTTTGCGACGTAGCTCTTTATCTGAAAGGGAAAAATAGCTGATGTAATTAAAAGGGATGGATTGCATTACAATCTCAGTTTCAACTTCAGTGATTAAAGTTTTTATAATGCATTTGGTATGATTAATGACTCACTGTGGGATTAATACAAGACTCAGCCTTAAAAATATGAACTTTAATACGGCAAACATAATTTGTTTTAAATAAGACAAGTTGACTCAATGAAGAAAATGTACTTGGCTTATAAACAACATAAATCTGTTCAAATATTGGGGCTCCTAATTATTTTCAAACTAAGACTCCCAGGCAAAAACTTCTTTGAGTTTTTGAATATTTGTTAGCTATCCTAAAATTGGTTACTAACTCTGCGATCTGGATCTCAGCTACTTAACCACACACGAGTGGTTCAGGTTTGAGAGTCCAGGCATGGGGGCATTTGTGATCATCATATTTTCTTCTTTAATAATAAAATACCAAGAAAAGTATGGGAAAATCAAATCTTAATTTATAGCATATTAGAAACAAAATTCATTTACTGAGCATGCTCGGACAAGGTATGTGCGAGGAGGCATGAATAATACTCTGGAGCCCGACATCTGGCAGTGGGCCAGCCATGAAGATCAACACAGCCCGTGGGGAATAGTTATCTTCAGATCCCATTACAAACTGAGTTTAAACATGTTACAGCTGCTAAAACTGGAAACTGCTCTCTCTGTGTAGACTTACTAAAATAATATATGGCTGCCAAATACCTGCTTCCCACTGTAATATTACAGTTAATGTTTATATAATAAAAAGCATAACTAAGCAGAAGAAGAGAGAAAAAAGCAATCTTGTTCATACTTGAATTTATTCCATCTCATCTGTGAAGTCCTCAATATCCCCCCCACCCCCCGCCAATTCCTTTTATCTGCCTGGTTCTAACAGGGACTTTATCCCCCTTCAATATCAGCAGGTTGGGGATTTTTGTCTAGGAGCAAAATGCATTGAATATTTCAAACTGGAAAAAAATCTTTTAAATGGAGTTTCATGAAAACATATTTTATTGTTGGGACAGATAGGTTTGTTTTTACTTTTGTTTTGTTGCCATGGGAACTCAAGGAGCATTCAAGTCTGGATGTTCCAATGGTTACTGCTTACCGGGCCACCCTTCCCCCAACTTCATTCCCTAGTGGAGATGGTGACACCATAAGGTACCCTGTTCACTGAGATTACCTCTGAGTGTGGGGAGAGGTTGAGAGAGAACAGAGAACTGGGTGGGAGAGACACCCAGTGGACCCCAGAGGACTCCTCTGCCCGGGTTCTGACAGTCTTAGGCCAACCCCCGGCTCTCTATATGGGTGCTAAGGAAGACTATAATTTCCTTTTACAATTTTGCAAGTTCACAAGGCAGGGCAGCTTTTTCATTTCAGTTCTTTCTTTCTTTTTTTTTTTTTTTAATATTTTCTTTCAATTTTTTCTCCCCTTCACTCAACTCAGCAGCTGGCTGGCCGACAGCAGTAAAAAATACATTTCACTTTGCTGGTCAAAGGCCTAAAGCCAGAAGCAGGAAATCTGGAATTAAATGTTTCTTGTATCTGGAAAGAGGCATGACTAAGGTAAAACTGAATCCAAACACAAGCCCTGCTTGTTTAAGGCTTCCAGAGGGAAAGAGTGTGTGTGTGTGTGTGTGTGTGTGTGTGTGTGTAAAGGTCAATTGTTTTTTTTTTTTCCTCCTTCTAAATCATTGAAAGATAATTATAGTGGCTTGGGGGAAAAAAAGGCTCCCAAAATAAAACAAGCAAGGCAGCAGCTTAAAGGAAGCAAGTAGAAATATAACCAGCTAAGCTTTGAAGAACAAGGCATGGTCTCACACGCACACAAACAGTCGCTGCTTCATATAGTGACTTCCGTTCCATTTGGTGTGATTTTCACTGAATGTTTTTTCAGTTATCCTGTCATGGTACAACACAATTACCCCACAGGATATGATCTTATCATTTGATTATTAGAAGTTTTTACAGCACAGGAGGATGAAAGCTAGTATAGGTTTCTGAACATTTAAACGTTCACCATGCATGCCATATCGTTAAAAATAGGTTAGTCAATATAAGGTCAACATTGCCCAATGTGGGAAGCTGAGTAGGTTTGTATTAAACAAAGAATTTAGTATATTGCAACATGTTTGTGCCTTGAGGATGATTATGCTTCAAATATTTGTTTTACAACAAAGATTTAATCAGTTTCTAAACTGTACAGATAAAAGCTAGCATGCACTCCAGTCCCCAAGAACTCATTACACAGGAGACGTATTTTCAATGGATTGCAAATTAAGAGTGGGGTCTGAGTTTTAGGTGGGTGGAAGCAATGGGGAAGAGATGCGATATATTCATTAGAAAATCCAGAGAGGTTTTCCCTCTTCCTCATCTACATCATGCCTGGGTATTGAAAGCTGGACAGATAAATGGGCCTTTACTATTATCCAGATTCACATTTCAGATTAGTAAAATGCTTATTTACGATGCCATTAATGGATCTGAAACAGGTAAGCCATTATGTATTAAAAAATAACATCTTTCCATAGGCATAAGATTTGTAGCAGCATGAGATTTTATTTTTCCCTAGGAATAATACAAGAATAACATTTTCCATCCCAAAGCAGAAACAGTAGGGGAGCTTTTTGCTATCACCGAGATTCTTATTAAATTCAGTCACTGTGAAAAGCAAGATTTTTTTTTTCTCCTTCTCATTCTTCTTTCTTTTTTAAAAAAATAAAGATGACTTAAAATCAACCCAAGTTAAAATTAACAAATCAATGAATGGCATTCTAATCTTGATTTATTAGCATCTGAGCCATTAAATTATCATCAGACATGAAATTGCTGGTTTGAAAAGATTTCAGCTTTGCTAAATCTCAAGTTAAATAATGGTGCTCGGTATACTAGGTTTTTAGATCTGCCTCATCTGATATTATGAAAAATTCAATACATTTCTCTACAGCAGAAGTCAGAGGTCAGCAAATCTATTACTGTAATGTAAGTAATCTGGCAACCTGCCAACTCTTTCTCCCTTTTATTATTTTTTTAAACACCAAGGCAGATAATTTTATATTTACAAAGTCTAAAATCCTACAGGGCCGTGCCTCTTTCTCTCAACAAAAAGCAGCAGCCTCACATTAGAGAAATGTATATCACACATGTCCTCATCATTTGCATTTCATACAAAAGAAGAAAAGACCCTTCATCTTTATTAGGCAATGTTCCCCTCCCCTCATCGTAAGCACTGGAAAAATAATGTCAAATCTCATCTGAACAAGTAACCACTAATGTCTCCTGTATTGATTAATGCTTGCATGGAATGACTGAACTTTTGGGCCAAAACATTTAGCAAACAGAACCTAAGAGAAGAAATGAGAATCCATCTATTTATAGAGCACTGAAAAATGATATTTTAATAATGTCTGGAAGTGATTCAATCCAGAGAGTGGGGGAAAGAACTGGGAAATCTTTAGGGCTGCATTTGAATCTCAAACTCACTCCACCTGCTTCATAGGCATTTTCACGGCGTCAAACCAATGAGAAATTCCAGGAATGAAGATTTGCTGGTGTCCTTAGGGCAGAATATTTTAGGGGCAGAGGGAAATAAAGTTGGTGTGCATGTCAGGTCAAAAATGCTACTACTATTCTTATACTACTAGGGTTTCTTTCTTTCTTTCTGTTTTTTTTAGTACAAAAGAAATGACATATTGGTTCCATTGGGGCTTCAGACCTGATCTGATCCCAAATGAAGTCATTACACCTCTGAGTTGATTCCAGGCTTGATAAAT